TCCATGTCTTCGACTTGATGCAAGTAAAATAACTTAGTTTTGTGTTTGAGTTAATTTCGACCTGTGTGCGTAGGAAAGAGCGTTCACCATATAGCATGTTRTGAATATGCGTTGCACATAAGATGGATTGGTCTCCCTGTACTGAAAACTGATTTTCGAAAGCACTTTCAAGTTTGAACTTAAAAGTTTACTTCACCGTATGCCAGGTATACTGACAGCCTCGTTCCCAGGGCATTTTTCTGATAGTAAAAAGAGTTCCTGGAATCGTACTATCAAAAATGGATTTTGATTTGCTAGCTTGTTTTTTATTTTACTTTTTATTTTTATTGTTAAATTTCTTCAACGGAGTGTTCTATAATACTGGAATAGAACACATGTTCAGCTACGATCGTTAATGCTAATTTCATCACCTCTTTTTTTGTCATTATAGATTTATATAAAAATGGTTTACAAAGAAGTAATTTTATTCCCTTTATACCAGTATTAAAGGTAAAATCTTAATCTACCAGAATATCCTTGTACTGAATAATACATACTAATTTACGAACGAACCAAAGAACACGTGCACAATTCAAAATTACAACTAGCTCTTGGCAGTCACTTTCTAATTATTCCTTATATATACCTTAGTGTATCGTATAATCGTGCATATCTCTTTGTATTCCAGAGTCGATGCAATATTTTATGTTTGGATTCTGGAATAGATTATAGAATGAGAGGTAGGTAAGGGATCGGTCATTACAGGCAAGGGACCGGTCATTATCTATTGCCAGGGATGGAAGTCGTGGAATGGGTGGGAATAGAATTAGAATAGAGGGATTTGCAATCATGAGGTTATTTTTGTGTTGTTGTTGGTGCATTTGATGTTTTACTTGTCAAACAAGCTGTCTGCTTACCTGTCCGTCCTTCCGTTTGTCTGTCTGTCTGTCCGTTCTTCCGATGTTTATCCGACGTCCGTCCGACGTTTGTCTGCCCTTCCGCTCTGATTTCTTCTGCTTTCTCTATTTTTCGCTGTACCCAGTGTTCCAGAGGTTGGCCGACCTTRCKGCMTCAAAAAACGGGGCTTCGCGCTATAAATTAGGAAGGAAGAGTAAGAAATCCAGCCTCTGTAACCCTGGTACTTATAAACTCAACCCTTATTTCATGTTTCAGACATCGTCCACATAGGAAAAGTGTACTTTAGGTAAGAGAAGCATGTTATTTCCACAAACCAGCAAAAAATATATACCAATTTGCTCTTTATTTGGCCTTTGTTAGTTCTCATGATAAGAAAACAGAACAAGAGTTAGACTGGATCTTCTCAAACATGGCTGAACAAGAAGCCTTAAGTAAGTGACTTGTCACTAAATGTCTATATGTTTTTATAATTTATTGTTGTTGTGGTCTGTTTGTGTTTATTTATTATTATTGTGTATACTTGTGACGGTTTTTAGGTTATGTTTATATTGTGAGCTGGAGAAAATTGATCAATACTGAAAAATAATTGTCTAATCTCTCAGACGTTATGAGGCTAGTTCCCATTTCTCTCTCTCAGTGTGGTTTTCAAATAGGATTTTTGGAATGGCCTGTGTATGGTATTAAGATACGCATTGGATTGGATGAAACAATTTATTTTTTTGTAAATGAATGTCATTTTAATCTTTCAAAATTTTGGATTATTTTGTTTTTATTTTTTATTTGTTYATTTATTTATTTTTTAATGATATTCGACTGGACTGGAATGGCTGTGGGAGCTCAGTTTACTACTTACTGGAAAATTTTTATCAAAGATGAATGCTGTTCTTTTTATCTGACATGCAATATTTCGGTAATACCAGGAAGCCATTTGTACATAATTTTTCTGTCTTTTCTGACAGTGTATGAGCCGCATAATTTACCTGAATGGCGTATTGCTTGTTTTTTTACAAAAGCGATACTCCAAATTTGCCTGGACTCCGAGCGATGGTGATTTCAAAGGCAGCTGGTCTAGAATATTCTAACAGTTTTATGTTTTTGATTAGCTCGGGATACATGTTCATTAGAATTGATTTGTTAATTGTCCATTTTTCGTCCATTTTTTTTTTTGTTAATTGTCCAAAATTCTAACAGTTTTATGTTTTTGATTGGCTCGGGATACCTGTTCATTAGAATTGATTTGATAATTGTCCATTTTTACTTCATGTTCATTTACTCATTTATTTTTTTTTTTTTCAAAGTTGTTTTTATTATTTTTAAGTTGAAAACTTCGTGCAGAACATTTTTTTTCTTCAATTCTTTCTTATTCCAGTCATATTTTTAGTTTTCAATTTATCAACAAATTAAAGGAGATTGTCTTGGACTCCAAGTTATTTATTGGTAATAATATTATTCATACAAGTTCATGTACTCCGAGTTAAGGATGAACTAAACGTTGCAAAAAAAACAGCAAACACACACAAAAAAAGTTTTGACAACGAGTCCAATGTTGTCCCTTGATTTAAGCAACTATTTACAAACTGAACTGTTTCACCTACACATCTATTGGACAGTCTGAACGGTTAATTAACAGTGAGTTTAAAGGTTTCGTAACAATGAGGTCCTATTTGCAACTATCTACAAGCCAGTAATTTAAGATCAACACAAGCTAGAAGGCCGGCTAAAGGAACGTATTGTCGAGGCATTGCTGTTTAACTTATATCTACTATCCTTAGAATGTAGAATGAATGAAGAGTGAATGAAATAGAATTACAAAGATGTGAAATAATTACAGAACGGTGAGAAAAAAAAAACATGATGGTTTATCTACGACTTGGTACACGAGTCTCATGATTTAACATCGTTTTTCTTTCTGTCTTTAGTTTTCTTGGTCTTTGTCAATTCAGAGTGCAATTGTTAATATATCCACTAGTTATTAAGCGGTCACTGTTTTTTTCTGTTTTTAAGTTACATATCTTGTTCAATGGTTCAGTAATTTAAGAATTTGAGACATGCTTTCCTGATGTCTTGGCTGGTTCCAATGTAAACAGCAGGATTCACTAGATGTGATAAAATTCCAAAGCAATGAATCAGTGGTTCGAAAACGTACTGCATTTCTTCAAACTTGTTCTTTATAAGAACAAAGAGGACAAGCGGGAAGATTCTTGTAAATAGAAGGCCTATGCCAAGATATGCTGCTGCTTCGGCTGCTTTTCTTTCTGATTTGGCAAGACGTTTCGTTTGCAAAGTAGGTTGAATGTTTAAAGTTTGTTTCTTCTTTTGACATGTTTGATTCTGAGGGTTTTCTGGTGTCACTTTATCTTTCCTCAGACTGTCTGGTGCTACGGTTTGCACTGAATGGTTTTCTGATTCAATACACGCACTTAATTTCCTTTTGGCATTTTCAGGGATGTTTTGGTCATGAAATTCACTTTGTTGCTCATGTGGTCCTAATTGTTGTTCATGTGCTACTTGTTGTTCGTGTGGTCGTGGGTGTCCTTGTTCTTGATTGTCGTTTTCTGTGTTCTGGGGAACGTTCAGTCGTGGAATATTTTCCTCTTTAAAATTTTGGGAAAGCGATTGATGTTGATGACGATTAGTTTGTTCAGCGGTGGGTTTGTGCGTTTGGTACGAACATCGATTCATTTCTTTTTCCTTTCTCTTCTTGATGGCCCACTTTATCAAAACTGCAAATGTGAACATGAAAGCCCAAGAGCAAATCAGCACGAAATACATAAGAATCTGCGCTATATCTGTGAAGCTTGTGGTTAGAGTAATACCAACACCAACTATACAACACCCAACAGAAACCTTGAAGATGCGTCTTTTCGTGATATGTGACCGATGCCATATGGGATATTGCAGGCTGATAAAACGTTCACAGTTCATTGCCGCTAATAGCAACTCACTCTGAATAAACAGGTTGGTGTTAATATAAAGAAAAATCACATAGCAGCTAGGTTCAAGAGTTTTCTGGTAAATTACCTCCATGGATAAGAATAAGGGAGATGCGAGAACACTTCTGATGAAATCAGCTAGCGCAATGGCCATAAGAAATACATTTCCTTTTTTCCTCAAAGATGGATTCTTGTAAAAAGCCAAAAGCACTAGACTGTTGATTAATGCCGCGAACGGACATGTGARGGCGGTTGTTATGATAGCAAAAAGAGACGTAGCAAAGGACGCCGACGTTGCCTTATTGGGATCCTTTAACTCGCCAAATACTCTGCAAACAGCGAGTATCTCTGAAGAGGACGAGTAGCTTGGTGTGCTGTTCGACATTGTTGYTGTCTTCTCTGACTATCCTGTACGTACACTTCGATTTATGCAAATCATAAAAGAGAGACACTACCTGTATTATACTTTTAACATTATTTTTTACTTCCTCTCAAATGCAATATATTTTTCCCTTGGAAAAAAGAACAATAAGTTCTTGGATCTCTTAATCCTTCTGTATCCGTTTACAGAATATAGGTTATCAATTGATTGAACATGTAGGCTTTGTTTTCTGAACTAATCTTGATCGTTAAATTCAGTGTTGTGCAATTGGATAAGTTTATTTAAGAGAAAAACGTTTTCGGGTCGCAAAAGCTAACCAAGCTAACGCCCAAAGAAATTTCTCAGGAATTCAAATCATGTTTTGTCATATTCGATGAGTATTTCAAGAGCTTTTCAATATCAAATTGTTTGCCGTTGAAATMTGGAACCATCTCTGATAAGGCGCTAAAAGTGGAAAGTACAGAAAGATCTCTTCACTATACTTAGTCAGATTCGAAACACGTTGGGATACCTTTGCATCTTTTAAATGTCTTTATGCTCTCGTTACTTTTCGGGATTTCTTGTACATTTTTATTATTTGTTTATAGTACAATTGAATCTCCTGTAAACAGATACACTTGGGAAAAAGAAAAAAATCTTTTTGTTCATCTGTCTGTCGATTAAGTGGGAATTAAATACAGTATTTGTATGAAGGAGAAAAAAAGCAGGTTTTCGGAATGCTGTCCATCATTAGAGCTAGCTGAGAATGTTAGGATATGAGTGGCGATTCGACTGTATTGCTCGTTTCCAATCATTCCCATGAGATAAAGACATTTTGGATGAATGTACAATAGATACTAATGAGAAATCCTTCGTTGAAGTACCTCCAAGATGGCCGCTGTGACGTATAGTGAAAACGATAATATGTTAATTTTATTGTATAAACTTCAATGAAATAGTAACAGGAAATCTCCAATATTGAAAAAATGATATCTTTCACAATGTGAAATGACAGGTGGATACTCCGTACAAAATTGTATTATTTCTTGCCTTAAGTAGAGCAAACGCACGAAAAACATTTTACAAAATTTAAAAATTAAAACCAAACTAAATACTAACAAATAGCGGTTATTTAGAGACAATTTGTCAGTGATTAAGATGAATCCACATYACACAATTTAAATTGTTGGTTTGTGTCGATTCATAGTTGTATGTTTTTTTGTCGCACAATAAATTAGTCTCATATGTTTCATCTCGATTGTTTCTGGTTCATTAATACTAAATAGCTGCTATTTGTTAGTATTTAGCTTGCTTTTATTTCATGGTTTTCCTGCGTTTGCTCTATAAATTTGAGTGTAGACAATACAGTGTAACTCGCTTCGTAGCCTGTGTACATCCGTTCCCACCCCTCCCCCCTACCGGGAATAATCGGGGAGGAAACGTCGTTTCCTCCCCGATTATTCCCGGTAGGGGGGAGGGGTGGGAACGGATGTACACAGGCTACTCGCTTCGCTCACTCTTGAGATATTATGGAACACTACTAGGCGATAAAATCTATATTTCCGCGCGACAATGTAATATCCTTTATTTATCAAATATATCRTGTTTATTACAGCTGGCGACATTGAAATCAAGCCTCGAGATATCGAAATAGTGCCGGGTGGCCGGACCATCCATGCACCCATAACGTGCGGTCGAATAGCGGACTTTACATTTGAACAACTGTGTATGAAGGTAAGAGATTACTCTTCATGTCTTGTTCTTTTATTTATATACCTTAATGGCGAATGTCGATTGTCGAACGGCGATTGCACGGCCGATAATAGCCATAGGTTCTGCTAACTGARGGGAAACTAGACGCTCAAAAGCGTTTWCATGGGCTTCCTGTGTTATTTACGCCTGGACGGYATGTGTCCTACTCCATCTCAAAATTACATCTAGCTGCAAAGTGCCAGTTTTAAAAATACCAGTTTTATAAATGTTTACATTACATACATCAACAGTTAGCAGTTAGAGCGGATTTCGTATGATTGGGACACCGTTACCGCACAGTTACCGCACAGTTACCGCACCTGGCCTGCAGAATTTTGGTGAACCAATGGGGCACTAGAATTTGGTTACAGTACGGTTACGGTCACAGTAAAGTACCGTCCGTTTCCAACTCATACGAAATCCGCTCTAGCAAGGTTCTACGAAAAGCTTTCAACAGAATAATATTTACACCGATCAACGTTGGAAACGAAGTGCAATGATTTGTAAGCTTACATWAAGACCATAAGAAATAATTGAAAGTATTGATTTACTAAACTGAACTATTGACGACATGGAATATCGAAATATAAATCCAATCGCTGCTTTCTTGTTCAATTCGCCTTAAATTCACCGTAAATTCCTTGCTCATGAAGATTCCATAGCATCAGATGTCTTCGTTTCAGCATTGACAGAGTCAGTTTTCATGTCAGTTATTAACGTTCCGTTAGTTTTTAAGTAGCTCGRAGTGATATTTGGAACGTAATTAAAAACGRGTCAGTTAGATAAATCTTGAAACGACTCGTTCGAAATGTACGCCTCTTAGCACGTAATTTTTTCGACATCTTCATCGTTCGTAGATCGACCAACCATGTGACAACTATTCTTTTGGGTCYCTGTGGTTCAATTCGCAAAGCATCATGGGGGACTATACACAACGTTGATAGATAGATTGATTGAAGTAAAGGTATATTAAGACATGAGCTTCCACAGGAAGCCCWTGTAATAACAACTGATTTATAATTTAAATATAGTCTGTAGTAAATATTGGCTCCATTTAGTCACTATTTCTATGCATAAGTGAAACTTTATTTGTCAAAACAGTTTAACCAAGTYYTTTTCGGTCGTGCAGTCTCTCTTTGATGATCGTCGTTCGCCATTCTCCCCGACAACGTTTTTATGAAACAGATGTATGTTACCTTTTTGTTCTTTCTTTAATCTCTTTTGTGGTCTTATTACATAGCTGTTTCCCCTGAAACAGCAAAAACGTTTAACAGAAATAGAGGATATTACATGGGCGCGCGGAGATATGGATTTTATCTTCGAGTGTTGAAAAGATAGCGAACGAGTGAGAGGTTTTCAACACAAGAGGATAAAATTCGTATCTCCAAGCGACCATGTAATATTCTGTTTATCATATAATTATCAATAAAATCAAATTATGTTGTAAAATACCTTTTTTTCTTGCTTCCACTATATAGAGAAAACTCGAATGTGTTATTTTCACTAGTGAAAATATCAACTTTATGTAATGGAGAAATATAGGTATTTCATAGATAATTATATGATAAAAAAATATTAAATTGTCGTGAAGTTATAAGGGTTAGAACGTGCACAAAGCCTCAGCAAACAATTTCATATGAATCCCGTGTATTTCCAATCCTCCAAACCTCGTTAGGAAAGTCCATAGCTTCAAAACTATCCACAAATATAGCTATTTCTGATCGATAATTATTTCATGACAGTGTTATGTTTCCATAATATTGTCAATTGTATGTAATCAAACGTTTTCTTAAATAGCTGTATAAAACAGAACAGTCCACCTAAGTCCACCCATTGTCTAATCTAACATTCATTATGCGCAGCCTGTTGGTGCAGCTGACTACCTGGCTCTCTGTAAACACTTTGACGTCATCATGGTTCGRGATGTTCCACAAATGACTCTATTCAGAAAGACTGAGGCGAGACGGTTTATTACTCTGATAGATGCTTTATATGATAACAGGGTAGGGACCACAATCATTGTCATGCCTTTGATGTGCTAAACTTACAAATATCGTAGAGTCGTTGTACTATGATATTTTAAGTTACCGCGCCTTGGGGGAAGCGACTCCCATATGTCGAAGGGGCGAGATGATCGTTTTTTTTTTTCTTGTTTGTTTGTTTTGTTGTTGTTGTTGTTGTTTTTTTTTTTTTTTTTTGGAGGGGGTGGGGGAGTATCCCATCGCTCCCAACTCCGCCCGGGTTATCACGTCATATCGTAGCCCCTTAATGTCATGATAGTACCGATCTAATACGATAACTTGACCCTGTGTCAGTATGTTTCGTTATTTTGGACTTTTTTAGGTTCGGTTGATTTGTTCTGCTGCGACCTCGCCTGCGGACCTTTTCCAAGCATCACCTTTGAGTCCCAAGGATATCGAGGACCGTCGGATGTTAATGGACGATTTACAGTTGTCAACGGTGGGATGAAACATTCATTGTTATGCACTAGTCAATTGAAAACCCCGACCCCCGGGGCTAGCGGGGAACTGAACGGGGACGTGACGCGTTTTAAACGTGCTTTTAACAGCAAGATTGCCCCGGGGGTCGGGATTTCGAAGCGGGGCAAAGAGCGCGGATTTTAACGCGCGTTTGAACATGTATGAGGCTGGTAACTTCCTTTGCATGAAATGTTTTTAAAAGAAACTTATTACACGTTTTTCTCAGTCCAGTTAGCCTCATGTAGTACGCTAATGAGTACACAGGATTGTGCAAAAATTGACCCTKTGTATCACAGAAAATTTGATTGAAAGGTGTTTGTTTTGGTATTTACTACTACCAAAATAGCGCGGCAACAGTAGCGGGGATTTTAACAATTAATATGCCCCGAATACAGGGGAAAATGTCATATTTTAACACCACTTAAACATTAAATTCCCCGGTATTCTCCGGGGGTCGGGGTTTCAATTGACTAGTGCATTAGCGCATGCATACTACTCTTTTAACTTGTTTAATTGCAATCTCGAACCCAGACCCTCTGTCCCGTTTACTGCGCATGCTCAACGAAAAACAAAGGCAGCCTTGGTTTTTCGTCGAGCATGCGCAGTAAGAGGGACAGAGGGTCTGGGTTCGAGAATGGTTTGACTGATCAGTGAGCAAGGAATTTTAATGGCCTGGGGCTGGTTACACGATAAGCTCTGATGTTGTACGGGTTTTTTTTTATCTGCTGGATAACTATCTATCTCTAGATAGCCCCATTCAATCTTCGTACAACCTTCGTACCACTACCTAGTAAATCTGAACAAATATAGCTAGGCAATCTGTGCATTCCGATGCCCTTACGTAAGCATGCTTTATCTACGAGTTGTCATATTATAAGATCGCCTGTCACTCGGGGTACAATTTGTCAAGTTACCCCGCTGAATTCGGCGCAATTGTTTGATTGATTTTTTTATTTATCTACTTATTTATTTTTGTCGAAATGGCTGTTGCAAAGCTAATTTTCTATTGGTTGATCGCTAGGATAACATTGATGCCAATGCTAGTATATTTACCGCTGAAGAAGAAATCTTTGCATTCAAAAGAACAGTTTCTAGAATGGCAGAAATGCAGACAGAAGAATATTGGAAATCACAAACTCGACGAACACAAAAAGAGCATTGACAACGCTATAAGAAATTGGAACTGACGCTTTTTGCCAATAGCCACAGATTATTGGATGTCCGAGTGGGACGTTTACTAGTTTATTTTATTTTTTATTTTTACTTTAGTTAATTACAATGCAGTATTTGAATGAATGTCATATTTGACGATGATCCTCATTAATGAATCTATTTCCAACGAACGGCCCGGTGGGCATCCCATAATTGGTTTTAATGCATCAAGATGACGGTCTGATAAAAGTATTATTATTTTACATTCATAAAAATGTCTCGGGGATTGTGGAAACGATGTCAARCCGTTTTTAGTCGATGGAAAAACAACAAATCAATTTTGTATTAGCCCATATTTCCTGGATTTTTTTTAAATTAAGAATCTATTATATATTTATTATATCAAAGAATTGTTATAGACTAACAATCAAAAATAAAGTATTTTCATTGATAGACTTCTCTACTGATTGCTTCATTAATGCGCTCGAGTGATAACCGCTTTTGCTTATTATTTTACTCTTCTAGCCCCCTGTTCATTCCTCCCAGTCCACTCCTCTTTAATATACTGGACGTTGGTTATCACAACAAATGTACAATCTCAATTAGTACTATCGCTATTCTTGTAGGGGTTCTGCAAAGGATGAATAGCGCCATCCACCACATAAATCCTTATTTCAACAGATAAAAGCCATACAAAATCGACTGGAAAAGGACTGGAAAACTTATCCAGCCTTAGTACCGGCCCCAGGTCGCCCACTCAAGCATTGCTCAGAAGATTCGTACGTAGTTCTAGTCTAGTAGTACATAGTTCTAGTCTAGTAGGCTGGTACATAGTTCTAGTCTA